AGTTGATATCCATACACACACACACACACACACACACACACACACACACGGTCAATCTGCGTCTAACACCCCATTGGTCGATTGTATGAAAGGGCTCCAGTTAACCCCCGCCCAACCCTGATCTTCCCCTTGTGACACAACACGTACATTCCAAAATTTGACATTGCTGTCAGCTCTGCTGCTCCATTCTGCCCATTACTGTAGAATCCACAGTAGTACGTATTCTGCGGAAGTCATAATTCACTAGGGGGAAGGAGTCAAAGACACGCCTGTTATACTATCACAATGGATTAGGCAGTCCAGAGCCAAATCTTCACCATAAAATAACAGCCTCAAACGTTACCACATTACGCACTGGGTCACATTCCATTCGTGGGTCATATAAATGAGAAGTCTCTAATGACATGCATAGAAAGTGTTATTGAAAACTTACCTGGAATACAAAGATCCACCAATCACCAATAACAAACCGGCAACCATGAAAATGTCCTTCCCCAAATGTGCGCTCACCGTGCTGAGACCCCTTGGCAAGCACTGATTGATCATAATCGTAGGTAACGTGACTGTCGGGCTATGCAAGGCAGGCTGCTTATCCGATTGCGGAGAGAACTGGTCAGACAGGAGACGATTCAAGTGGTCCGCGGCAACCAATAACGGATGCATAGTCGAATTGGCCTTCCGGTCCATATTGCTGACGGCACGTCGTTGCCACGGTACATCGGATGAGAGAACTTATGAGAAAGATGAGAGGGAGGAGGGGGGTAAGGAACACAGGTTCAATGTATGATTATTATTATTAATTACAATAATTGGGTGTCTCAGGTTGTTCCTGGTTACCTTTCCCTTGCACCTTGCGGAATGCTCCTAGGACTAAATGCCTCAAATGGCCTCTGTTGCCGAAGCCTTACTCACTGCCTTCACATGGCGGTGTTTTCGCACCAAAGCGAGAGGACGAAAATCCAACATCCGGGACCATAACCGGGTTGGTGAACCACTGGCAGTTCACCTAGGGGAGTTGGCTAAACCCCTGATTCCAAATCAACTAAGAGGAGGAGTAAGAACCACACATAAACACATGCAAATACACATACACACACACCTTAATGTTTGTGGCAGTGGTCACCATCTAGATTGGGTATCGGTATCGGTTCCACAGACTGGACTAAGAATTATGCAATATATATGTTTATATCACTAATTATTATGACCAACATACAAAAGTCTCAAATCTATCCTCAATATCACAATTCTCCGATTTTCTTTCTTTCAAATTCTGTGCCTGAATAACCAAAATATAACAAGTACCAATTCGTAAGCAGAAGATTGCGTAAGACTACACCGATGCTTGTTTGTGGGTAGCACACAACTCAGGTATTCCTAAACTTCATTGCACAGCAAACTGAACGAATCCAGGGGCTGAATGATTCCAGATAGTGCACAACCGGAGACACCAAAAAAGGTGAATGCCAACAATCTGACCCAGACTCCTGAAGCATTAGCTTTCAGGAGTGTCCTCCGAATTATAATAATAATAATAATAATAATAATAATAATAATAATAATGGTAGGAAACAAAACGTATCGGGAGGCTGATACGCCACATGATGTACACTCATAAGATTTCCGCCAGCTGGATGATAGTGAAGTGAGAACAGTGCACCCACCCACTCGCCCGCGTATACCTACAATTGCAGTCTTTCTATATACGACTTGTGCTGTAGTCTGTTAGCTGCCCCGATTGGTTGCACATGTCTGACCACCACGGTTTGCGGATTTTCGGTGAATTTCAAATGAAGATGGCTTATTCAGTCAGTGTTCGGTCAAATGAATGTGGATAGCACACGTGAAAACAGAATTGTGACAAACGGTCCATAAGCACAGTTCAACACGCCCTAGAACCCTGGATAACAATGTCACAATGTGTGGAACGTCTGAAGTGCTCATGAACTGTAAGTGCCGGATCCTTCTCCATCGGTTTAGATGACAGTAGTCGCAACGATACACCTTAGTAGTTCGTAACGTTGAATTTGACACCATTGATGTGGGAACCGTAGAAACAACCGTCGACGCATGTTTTCTCAAGTGCTTAAGAGCCCTTAGAAATGGTTATTGTTTTTTCTCTGGGTCTTCTAATCGTCTACTATGAAGGATGGCTTGTCTCAGGAATGGGTTTATAAAAATCAAGAATAATGTGTCTTTGGCAAGTACGGACCCCTACGGATTGTTCCATTCGGTCTTGTTAGCGAATTCCAAACCCGAACTGGTCTGGTAAGTAGTCGAATAAACTCCTCAACAAGTCAATCCAGCCTTGTAGATTCGTTGGCGAATCAGTACGTATCTGCAAGGAAGTCCTGACTTGTTGGGAGGCTTTTGATTGGAGTAACAGTGTATCATCTGTGTCTCCCTTCGTTGCTGTCGGGCCAAAATGAACTGACTATCACTGAGAACGACACCTGAACAAACATGAATTGGCAATTTGGTTCAGCCATGGCATGAGCTGGTTGGCACAGTGGTAACGCACACGCCTTCCATGTGATGGGTCCGGAGTTCAAATCCCGGACGGTGGACGGTGGATATGCACTACTGATGAGCTCCAATAAGAGTGAGACTCGAGTCTAGTGCTTCCGAGTGTATGGTTGAATCGATGAACTGAGAATTGTGCGTGAAGGTGAAGTCTGAAGGATAGTCGGCTCGAATCAATAAAAACCAATTATCCCACACCACTACTCACATGTAACTGTGAGTCAAACTTGAAATTACAAATATTCTTCCCAAGTGGATTACGTCAATTTTGACAGAACAGGAAGTATGACTAAGCTGTACTTGGTGCGATCACTACGACAGCCACTTTAGCATATGGGTGACATTACACGTTCAGTCCACGATTGAAGAAGTACAATTTTGTGGAACATCCGCTGGAGTCGATTAGCTTGGAGTCAAGCTATGCGTCCCTAAGGAGGTGAGAGTAACCGGTTTAGAATGCATTCATAAACTAAGCGATTGATGATTGACCTCTCAGTGATCAGCTTGAAATGAGTTCGAGGCCTATCTTGTTATATTTCGCAAAGATAAGCGATGAACAGCATAGTTCTGTAGAGCGCATATCAGGCACTCGGATGACACCAAACACAATGTCCGTGAGGTCAGAGCAATGAACATGACAAATACTATTACTCAAAAACAAACAAGTTCATGAAGGAAAAAATAGCCGCTGTTTTGCTTCGGCTAAGCGCTTCACCAACACATTTCGCTTCCTTTTCTTACCAACTACTTCGTTTTCTTTCTGTCCAACAGACCGGCAAGTGCTGGGCACAAACAACTGTCTGTCAAGTGGATGCTGGTATTTGACTCTCACCACCACCACCACCACCATCCCTAACCATTTCTCTGAGAGTGAAATGGATTTTTATTGCAGCCGTACTCAGAAACGGAATACCTAGTAGTTCCTTTCCAGCCCGTTTACTCCATCTGTCGTCACACGCAAACACACTTTTATGACCCAAACAGATATGCACTTGTCCGAAATCCGGAACTATATGAAGTTAGCGCGCGCGCGCGCGCGGGAAAGTTGGTGATTTTCAAATGTAAGTGATAAAACAAATTT